GGTGGGTGCTTTGGGAGGAACGGTTGGTGAAAGGGCTGGAGGGAGGCAGCATGTTTGGCCTTGCAGTAATAGGCCTTGGGTTACTGCTGGTAATCCTGCCTTCCCCTTGTAGGGTCAGAGGAGGTCAGAACATGTGGCCTCCTTGCAGTTTTTGCACATACCCATTGTTGCTTGAGTTGAATTACATTTAGGCGAAATAATGTACCTATAATATAAGGCACTTGACTGCTAACCAGAAGCTGGCGGTTCAAACCCACCAGCCACTCCTCAGAAGGAAGGTTGGGCAATCCTACTTCTGTAGTGATACCGCCTCGGAAACCCAAGGAGGGGTCACTATGAGTTGGGGCCAACTTGATGGCACATAACAACAACAAGAACATAGAAGTGATAATTCATTTGTTCATTTATTCATGCATTCAACAGACACTGATTGAGCATCCTTTTATGTGCCAGATACTGTGTTAGGCAATGACATGCTCTTGTCTCTGTTGGAGCATGCTACTTTTACCTGTGTTTGCAGCTGTGAATGACCACCTCAACTATCAGCCTTTATACTCTCACTTGAAGGACCTCAACCTGATCCTTGGAAAAGACCTCAACTTCCTTGGCTGCCCTGAAACTTACATCCCTCCTGTAATTTCCTGAGACCTGGAATAATGCCCCTTCTATCATTGTGACTGACCTCCAAGAATTGTCATCTCATACTAGTTTACCACATAAGCTCTGCAAATGTCTAATAAGAAGAAATACAGACCATGCATTGGACTCATCATTGTTTTTTTTGTTTTGTTTTGTTTTTTTTTTGCTGTTTTTAGGGTGCTCAAGCTGGCATTACTACGTTACCATGCCAATGCCAGCCTCCACCTTCACAATTGCGGTAGGATCCTGGGCAGAAATGCAGCCAGAGGCCCGCTCATTATATGATCTGGCAACAGGGAGTGCCTTCCTACCTTCCGAGGCCGGCTTCAGGTTGGTGTTTGGGAACTTGCTGCAAAACAAATACTTGAGGGAGCATGCGGTGTAGTAAATTA